TCTTCAACAGCGGTTTTATTACAGCTTGCTTTAAGCTGGCTGGAATTTTGCCTTCCCGAAGGGAGGCATTAACCACCACCTTCACCCACTCGGCCAATCCCCCTCTGGCCTCCTTCAGAAGCCAGGATGGGCAGGGGTCTAGGATGCATGTGGTAGCTCTCATTCCTCCAAGCACCTTGTCCACATCCTCGGATTGAACCAATTGAAATGAATCCATCAAAACCGGACAAGCAGGTGCTCGGGTTACATCCTCAGATACTGCCGTTAATATGGTATCCAGTCCAGAGCGGATCAAAGCGACTTTGTCTGCGAAGAACCGAGCAAAAGCTTCGCAGCGAGCTGCCGAGTCATCAGGGCACCCATCCTGAGTGGCGGGTTTTAATAGGCCTCTGACAACTCGGAACAGTTCAGCCGGACGGTTCTTTGCAGACGCAATAGTGGCCGCAAAGAAAGTCTTCTTTGCGGCTTTTATTGCCGCGGCATATGCCCTTAAAAAGGACACAAACCGTGTTCGATTTGGCTCGCTCGGATCCGAACGCCACACGCTCTCTAGTTCCCTCTTCTTTCGCTTCAACGCTGCCAGCTCCTCGGTAAACCAAGGAGCTGGTTTAGCTCGGCTACTTGAGAGGGGACGTTCTGGAGCGATCGTGTCTATTGCCCTAGTCATCTCCCCATTCCAGAGAGCGACCAGAGCATCAACAGGATCACCAACCGAGGTGGCGGGAAATTCCCCAAGAGCCGTCAGGAATCCATCCGGATCCATAAGCCTCCTAGGGCGGACCAATTTAATGGGTCCTCCACCTCTGCGGAGGTTAGGGGGTGCAGTGAGTCTAAAGCGACCAGGTGGTGGTCGGTCCATGGCAACGGAGAGATGGATAACTCCTCAACACCGCCACCTTCCTCCCATCCCTGACAGAAAACCAAGTCCAATGTATGTCCAGCACTGTGGGTGGGGCCAGAGACTTGTTGGGACAGCCCCATGGTTGCCATGGTAGACATGAAGTCCTGAGCCGCTCCCGATGAGGCGGACTCGGCGATGGATATTGAAGTCCCCCAGCACAAGCAGCCGTTGGGACTCCAACACCAGGTCCGAGACCACCCCCGCTAGCTCAGTCAGGGAGTCTGTAGTGCAGCGAGGTGGACGGTACACTAACAGAATCCCTAATCTGTCCCGGTCACCCACCCTCAGGTGGACGCCTTCAAATTTTGTTGACTGCGGGATGGGGGCCCTGGTCAGAAGAATGGTATCTCTATAGACCACTGCAACTCCGCCTCCCCGCCCTCCGGATCTCGGTTGGTGCTGCACAGAGAAACCTGGTGGGCAAAGCTGGGTTAAATTTACACCTCCTGCTTCGTCCAACCAGGTCTCTGTGATGCACGCCAGATCTGCCCGTTCATCCAGGATTAAATCCTGGATGAAAGTTGTTTTACCGTTGACAGATCTGGCGTTCAACAGCATCACTTTCAATTCGGAGGGACCGCCATCCTGGTTACACCGGCTTACCATATCAGGAGACCGATTTGGGATTACTAAAGTTGTTCCCCGTTCCCTAGGTCGAATTAGAGGTCTCCCTTTCCCGTATCTCCCCCTCCCCACCAGACTCCCCCTCCCCACCAGATGGCTATCCAGCCTTTGCTTCCTGGGCCCAGTCCTGTTCAACATCTTTATTAATGACTTAGATGAAGGGTTAGAAGGCATGATCATCAAGTTTGCAGATTATACCAAATTGGGAGGGATAGCCAATACTCCAGAGGACAGGAGCAGATTCAAAATGATCTTGACAGATTAGAGAGATGGGCCAAAACTAACAAAATGAAGTTCAACAGGGACAAATGCAAGATACTCCACTTTGGCAGGAAAAACAAAATGCAAAGATACAGAATGAGGGACAATGCCTAGCTCAAGTGCAGTACGTGTGAAAAAGATCTTGGAGTCCTCGTGGACAGCAAGTTAAACATGAGCCAACAATGTCATCTGGCGGCAAAAAAAGCCAATGGGATTTTGGCCTGCATCAATAGGAGGATAGTGTCTAGATCTAGGGAAGTAATGCTACCCCTCTATTATGCCTTGGTTAGACCACATCTGGAATATTGTGTCCAATTCTGGGCACCACAATTGAAGAGAGATATTGGCAAACTGGAATATGTCCAGAGAAGGGTGACTAAAATGATCAAGGGTCTGGAGAACAAGCCCTATGAAGAGTGGCTTAAAGAGCTGGGCATGTTTAGCCTGAAGAAGAGAAAGCTGAGAGGAGACATGATAGCCATTTATAAATATGTGAGAGGAAGCCACAGGGAGGAGGGAGCAAGCTTGTTTTCTGCCACCCTGGAGACTAGGACACAGAACAATGGCTTCAAACTACAAGAAAGGAGATTCCATCTGAACATTAGGAAGAACTTCCTGACTGTGAGAGCCGTTTAGCAGTGGAACTCTCTGCCCCGGAGTGTGGTGGAGGCTCCTTCTTTGGAGGCTTTTAAATAGAGACTGGATGGCCATCTGTCAGGGGTGCTTTGAATGCAATATTCCTGCTTCTTGGCAGGGGGTTGGACCAGATGGCCCATGAGGTCTCTTCCAACTCTTATGATTCTATGATTCTATGAAAACTTCCCGGTCCATTTGTTAGCGTTTCCAGACTGAGAAGCACTTCCTGGATTGACTGGTCACTATGGATGAGACCTGGATTTATTTGTATAACCCTGAAATCAAGGAGCAGTCAAAAGAGTAGAGGCACAGTGGTTCTCCTCGTCCAAAGATGTTCAGGGTGCAAAAATCAGCCACTGAGGTGATGGTGTCTGTGTTCAGGGATAAGGAGGGCGTGCTGCTACTGGACTACCTTCAAAATGGTTCCACCATCAATGCAAAGTATTACATAGAATCTAGCTCCCTCCAACTATCATCTGTTTCCAAACCTGAAGAAACACCTCAAGGGGACCAAATTTCACCCCATTTCTGATGCCATGGCTGCTACGGATGACTGGTTTGAGGCACAATGGAAATCCTTCTTTTTCCAAGGCTTACAGAACTTGGAATATTGATGTAAGAAGTGTGTTGATATCACTGGAGAGTATGTGGAATAAATGTAAAGTTTCATCTTCCTATCTCGTTTCTTTCTGGGTAAAGCCCAAAACTTATCAGCAGCCCCTTGTACATGAAATGAGTAGGTCAGCCAAGGAAATCTGTTGAACTATTTGGGTTGAAATGCTAGTTGCCTCTTCTTATCCACAGAAGATACATATCCTGGCAATGGAGTCTGTGGATTTTGAGGTAATTGAGCTTTCACTTGCTCATCAGAAACAGTCTTGTTCATATCAAGTCCAATGACACAGCTTCTTCTCTTTGTTCCCCTTCCATTATTTCTTTGGCAGGGATTGGATTAGATTTAATTTTTTTTTGCATGTCAGGAGTGACTTGAAAAACTACAAGTTGCTACTGGTGTGAGAGAATTGGCCGCCTGCAAAGATGTTGCCTAGGGGACGCCCGGATGTTTTGCATGTTTTACGATCCTTGTGGGAGGCTTCATATGAGAAGCTCAGCCTGTCATTGAACATCAAGAAAACCAAAGTGCTCTTCCAGCAGTCACCAGCCAACCCCTCTCCAATGCCAGATACAGCTTAATGGTGTAACATTAGAAAATGTTGATCATTTCCACTACCTTGGCAGCCACCTCTCCACCAAAGTCAACATCGACACCGACATACAACACCGCCTGAGCTCTGCGAGTGCAGCATTTTTCTGAATGAAGCAGAGAGTGTTTGAGGACCGGGACATCCGTAGGGATACCAAGGTGCTTGTTTATAAAGCTATTGTCCTCCCAACCCTGCTATATGCCTGCGAAACGTGGACTGTCTACAGACGTCACATGCAACTCCTGGAACGATTCCATCAGCGCTGCCTCCGGAAAATCCTGCAAATCTCTTGGGAGACAGGCGGACAAATGTCAGCGTGCTGGAAGACAACCAGCATTGAAGCGATGGTCCTCCACCATCAGCTCCGCTGGACCGGCCATGTTGTCCAGATGCCTGGCCACCATCTCCCAAAGCAATTGCTCTATTCCGAACTCAAGAACACAAAACGGGATGTTGGTGGGCAGGGAAAGAGATTTAAAGATGGGCTCAAAGCCAACCTCAAAAACTCTGGCATAGACACTGAGAACTGGGAAGCCCTGGCCCTTGAGCCCTCCAGCTGGAGGTCAGCTGTGACCAGCAGTGCTGCAGAATTTGAAGAGGCACGAATGGAGGGTGAAAGAGAGAAATGCCAAGAGGAAGGCACGTCAAGCCAACCCCGACCGAGACCACCTTCCACCTGGAAACCAATGCCCTCACTGCGAAGAAGATGCAGATCAAGTATAGGGCTCCACAGTAACCTACGGACCCACCGCCAGGACACCGAACTTGGAGGACCATCATCCTCGGACTACGAGGGATTGCCTAAGTAAGTAAAAGTAAGAGAGGCTTCTCTCATGTCCCCGCATGGGGAGCTGGAGCTAACAGTGGGAGCTCATCTGCACTCTCCTTGGATTCCAACTTCTGACGTATCGGTATTCATTCCTGCTGGCACAGGGGTTTAACCCATTGTGCCACCTCAGTTTCCTCAGTTTCCACTTGAAATCCAGGTCAAATCTCTCCTCCTTTCTCTCCCCCCCCCCCCCCCCCCCCCCCCCCGCTTAGGCTTTGCCTGCCAGCCTTGGGTAGCATAGGTATGGGCAAACTTGGGCCTTCCAGTTGTTTTGGACTTCAATTCCCACAATTCCTCACAGCCTCATCCCCTCTTCTGCGGGTAGACTAGGAATGGGCACTTTTGGGCCTTCCAAAACACCTGGAGGGCCCAAGTTTGCCCAGGCCTGTCTCTAGTGCCACTCCACCGTCTCCTCTTCTGGAGGCTCAACAGATGGAGGCCCTGTCATCCCTAGACGCTCTGATCCATCCCCTCCCCCGTCTGAAAGGGGCCACTCCAAGGGGCGTGGCTACCGGGAGGTGGGCGTGGCCAAAGGAGTGGGATCCCTGAGAAGCCAAGCCAGAGCCGTCGGTGCGAGTCAAGGGGAGCGAGAGGGAGCGAGAGGGAGCGCGGAGGGGCTGGGCAGGGGCTCGCCTTGGTCTCCCCCATTCCCTCCTCTCTCCTCCCTCCTCTTGCTCGCCATGCTGGGCTTCCTGGTGGGCTACGTGGTCTTCTGCCTGCCGGGCTCGGCCTCGGGCGTCTCCCCTCGAGGGGCGGCGGCGGCGACGGCGGCGGCGGGGCTGCGCTTGCCTTGCGGAGACCCCCGCAGCCCCCTTCCCCCGCTCCTGAGGGCCGAGCCCGCCCTGYGCCCCGAGCGGCCCTTCCTCCTGGTGCCGCCCGAGGACAAGGAGGAGGAGGAGGAGGAGGGGGAGGAAGGCGAGGAGGAAGGCGAGAGGGGGGAGGGCGCCCCCCGCCTAAGCACCCCCGCCTCCCGACGCTTCCCGCAGGCGCTGATCGTGGGGGTCAAGAAGGGCGGGACCCGAGCCCTCCTCGAGTTCCTCCGCGCCCACCCCGACGTCCGCGCCCTCGGAGCCGAGCCCCACTTCTTCGACCGCGGATACGGGAAGGGGCTCGCCTGGTACAGGTGAGGACGGGAGGGGGGGGGGCGCAGGACTGGCCAAGGAAGGCGCCCAGGGCACGGGCACGGGCTCCTCAAAGGGCCGTCCAAGGCAGCGGGTGAGCTCGGGCCGCATCCGAGGGATAGCAAAGGTCTCAAAGAAGTGGTAAAGGCAGCAGAGGAAGGCATCCAGGGCACAGGAATGGGTTTAAAGGGCCAGGAGGACCGAAGGTACTGAAAGCTCAGGAAAGGCTTCCAAGGACCGTCAAAGGCACCGGTGGGCAGCAGTTGAGCTTCAGTTGCATCCAAGGGATAGCAAAGCTCCCAAAGGACTGGTAAAGGAAGCAGAGGAAGGCACCAAGGGCATAGAAATGGGTTTAAAGGGCCTGGAGGGCATCAGTAGACGACCGAAGATACCAAAGGCATGGTCAAAGGACCTTCAAAGGTAGGGCATGGGAATGGGTTAGGGTTAGGGTTAGGGAATGGGTTCAAAGAATCGTCAAAGGCAATGGGTGAGCTCTGGTTGCATCCAAGGGATAGCAAAGGTCTCAAAGGACAGGTAAAGGAAGCAGACCAAAGGTACCGAAGGTATCGTCAAAGGACCTTCAAAGGTACCAGTGAGCAGTGGTTGAGTTCTAGCAACAGAGAAGGTCTCAAAGGACTGGTAAAAGCCACAAAGGAAAGCATCCAGGGCATAGGAATGGGATCAAAGAATCGTCAAAGGCAGTGGTTGCACTCTGGTCGCATCCAAGGGATAGAAAAGGTCTCAAAGGACTCGTAAAGGCAGCAGAGGAAGGCATCAAGGGCCCAGCAATGGGTTTAAAGAATTGTCAATGGCAGCAGTTGAGCTCGGGTCGCAACCAAGGAATAGAAAAAGTCTCAAAGAAGTGGTAAAGGCAGCAGAGGAAGGCACTGAGCGCCCAGGAATGGGTTCAAAGAATCTCCAAAGGCAGTGGTTGGGCTCTGGTTGCATCCAAGGGATAGCAAAGGTCTCATTAATATTGGTGAAGGCAGCAAAGAAAGGCATAGAGGAGATGGGAATTGCTCAAAGAACCAGGAGGGTATAAATGGAGGACCGAAGGTACTGAAGGCATGGGAAAGGGTTCAAAGGGCTGTCAAAGAGCTCCAGTTGCATCCAAGGGATAGTGAAGGTCTCAAAGGACACGTAAAGGAAGCAGAGGAAGGCATCCAGGGCAAAGGAATGGAATTAAAGGGCCAGGAGGGCATCAGTGGAGGACTGAAGGTACCAAAGGCATTGAAGACATGGTCAAAAGACCTTCAAAGGCACCAGTGTGCAGAGGTTGAGTTAAAGCAACGGAGAAGGTCTCAAAGGACTGGTAAAGGCACCAAAGGAAAGCATCCAGGACATAGCAATGGGTTCAGATAATTGACAGAGGCAGTGGTTGAGCTCTGGTTGCATCCAAGGGATAGCGAAGGTCTCAAAGAAGTGGTAATGGCAGCAGAGGAAGGCCTCGAGGGCATAGGAATGGGTATAAAGGGCCTGGAGGGTCTCAATGGAGGACCAAAGGTACTGAAGGCTCAGGAAAGGATTCCAGTGACCATCAAAGGCACCGGTGGGCAGCAGTTGATCTTCCCTTGCATCCAAGGGACAGAAAAGGTCCCAAAGGACTGGTAAAGGAAGCAGAGGAAGGCATCGAGGGTATAGGAATGTGTGTAAAGGGCCAGGAGGGCACAGTGGAGAATCATAGGTATCAAGGGCATGGTCAAAGGACATTCAGAGGCATCAGTGGACAGAGGTTCAGTTCTAGCAATGGAGAAGGAATTCAAGGACTGGTAAAGGTAGCAAAGGAAAGCATCCAGGGCATAGGAATGAGTTCAAAGAATCATTAAAGGCAGTGGTTGAGCTCTGGTCACATCCAAGGGATAGAGAAGGTCTCAAAGGACTGGTAAAGGCAGCAAAGGAAGGCACCGAGTGCAAGGGAATGGGCTCAAAGGATCAGGGGGGAATCAATGGAGGACTGAAGGTACTGAAGGCACGGGAAAGAATTCAAAAGGTGGTCAGAGGCACCGGTGAGCAGTTGTTGAGCTCCAGTTGCAATCAAGGGATAGTGAAGGTCTCAAAGGACTGGTAAAGGCAGAAAAGGAAGACATCCAGGGAACGGGAATCGGTTCAAAGGGCCAAGAAGGCATAAATTGAGGACCAAAGGTACTGAAGGCATGGTCAAATGACCTTCAAAGGCACCAGTGGGTAGAGGTGGAGTTCTAGGAACCGAGAAGGTTTCAAAGGACTGGTAAAGGCAGCAAAGGAAGGCAAAGAGGGCATAGGAATGGGCTCAAAGGACCCGGAGGGTATCAATGGAGGACCAAAAGTACTGAAGGCACAGGAAAGGGTTCAAAGGGCCGTCAAAGGCATTGGTGGGCAGCAGCTGAGCTTCAGTTGCATTCAGGGGATGGCGAAGGTCTCAAAGGACTGGCAAAGGAAGGCATCCAAGGCATAGGACTGGCAAAGGCAACCAGGACAAAAGAAGGCATAGGTTGAAAGAATCATCAAAGGCAGTGTTTGGGTTCTGGTTGCATCCAAGGGATAGAGAAGGTCTCAAGGACTGGTGAAGGCAGCAGGGGAAGGTATGGAGGGCATAGGAATAGGCTGAAAGGACCAGGAGGGTAGCAATGGAGGATTGAGATGCTGAAAGCATGGGAAAGGGTTCAAAGGGCCATCAAAGAGCTCCAGTTGCATCCAAGGGATAGAGAAGGTCTCAAAAGACTGGTAAAGGTAGCAAAGGAAAGCATGGAGGGCACAGAAATGGGCTCAAAGGACCATCAAAGACAGTGGTTGAGCTCTGGTTGCATCCAAGAGATAGCAATGGTCTCAGAGAACTGATAAAGGCAGCAAAGGAAGGCATGGAGGAGATGGGAATGGACTCAAAGGATCAGGAGGGTATCAATGGAGGACGGAAGGTACTGAAGGCATGGGTAAGGGTTCAAAGGGCCATCAAAGGCACCAGTGAGCGGTGGTTGAGCTGTAGATGCAGCCAAAGGATAGAAAAGGTCTCAAAGGACCAAAGAAGGTCTCAAAGGGCCACTGAGGACAGCAAAAGAGGGCATCAAGGGCACAGGAATGGGCCCAAAGGACCATTGCTGGCACCAGTGGGCAATGGTTGAACACTGGGCACATTGAAGGGACAGAGAGGATCAGTAAAGGACCAGTAACGGCAGTAAATGAGGAGTGAGGGCATTGAGGGCACAGGAATGGGTTCCAAGGGCCAGTGAGGACACCAATGCAGGACAGAGGGCAACAATTGAGCATTAAGGGCATTGAAGGGACACTGAGGCTATTGGAAGCATACTGAAGGTTTCAAAAGACTGGTGAAAGCAGCAGCGGAGCTTTGGGAGTACTGAAGGCAGAATGGGGGCATCAAAGGGACAGAAAGGGGTTCAGAGGACCACGGAGGGCCCCAATGGAGAGCCTGAAAGTAGCTGTGGAGTATTGGGAGCGTTGAAGGGACAAGGAGGGCATGGAAGGTACAAAGGGGGCTTTGAAAGACTACCTCTTTAAACTGTGTCTCCTTTAATCCAATATAGACTTTGGTGGATTGGGTAGAAAGCAGAAGCCAGGTCTCAAGATAATCAGATTGATGTTTTTGGCTCATTTCTGGACTCTGCCCAATTTCTGTTGCTGCTTCAAGGTATGACAGTTAAGCATTTAATGGGCTAGTAGAAAGAAACTTGGTTTTGGCTATTGAAGTTTTGGATTTGCATCTCCGCCCCGACGTAAAGCGTGATTTGATTCAAAGCCTGCCATCTCTGCTCCTCTGCATTAAATCTGACTGAACCTTTTCTTTCATAGCCAGGCTTGAAAATATTTCCCAAATGTTTCGGTTTCTCTGCCATTCCTTTTTTTGAGAACCTGCGAAAAAGAAAGCAGCAATGTGCCATTGTGTATCTGATGAAGTCTTCGGTGATTTTCTTCTCTTTCTGGGATGAATCTTTCTATTATGGGCCAAACTATGAATGACTTTGTCCTTCAAAGGGGAAGGTCTGCCTCCGTTTGAAGTCGGAGACCAACCCTCTGCTTTTGTGGACTTCAAAGGGATCTAGATTTCCCAAAGACAAGGGGACAGAAGTCCAGCGGCTATTAAAAAAAAGGCTTTTTTAAAAAAGTGATTAATTGTGATTTAGTTGACTTATGGCAATCCTTACATTTTCCAAAGCCTTGACTCTGGAAAGTAGACTCCAAACTTTTGAAAGAGTTGTTTCATCATGAGCTGCTTTGAATCTCCATTTATGGAGTAAAGTGGAGTATACATATAATAATAATAATAATAATAATAATAATAATAATAATAATACAGTAGAGTATAGTTTCCCTAACATAAATGGACCGGCAGACTGTTGGATAAGTGAAAATGTTGGATAATAAGGAGGGGTTAAGGAAAAGCCTTTTAAACGTCAAATTATATTATGATTTTATAAATTAAGCACCAAAACATCATGTTTTACCACAAATCGACAGAAAAAGCAGAATAATACATGGCAGTGTTATGTAGTAATTACTGTATTTACGAATTTAGCGCCAAAACATCACAATGTATTGAAACAGTTGTAGATCCGGGCGGGAGGCAGATTGCATTGGATAATACAGAACGTTGGATGAGCGAAGGTTGGATAAGCGAGACTCTACTGTGATAATGATATTTTGACTCTTGCTCCTCATTCAAATGCATCTTAAAAGACTTCCAAACTTTCAAATTTCAAGGTTTTGTATCACTTTAAGCATGCTTTTTTGGAAGTCCTTTCTCTTAAATTAAGTGAGGTTTACTTCCTTGCAAAGATAGATTGGATGGGGCCACGGAACATGTGCCTTAAAGCGTCTGAGAATTGACCTTTTCTCCTCTTAGAAACCATAAATATGACAGCATCCTTATCTGATCAAGCAACATAAAGAGACATGCATATGTGTTGCAGAGATTGTATCATTTGTGCTTGCATATGTTTCATAGTGTTCCCACTGTATGTCAAATTATCACACAAAGTATGTGTGTGATACATTCATACCTGTATGAGGC